CAGGAGATACTTGCAGGGTGATGTTAAATTTATTTTCATACTTGGAAAATCATTGAAAATTAATTAATTCAAGCAATTTGCTTCAACAACTGCAACTCATTTTATGTAAATTCATCACACTCACACATATCATGATATCTTTTAAGTGTTTTGATTTGTCATACATTTTTATGATTAAGACTTTCAGCCAATTCAAACTCAAAATGTTGATTCTCAGTATTAAATGAGACAAGTAAAAATCATTGTAATTCAGAAATACTTTCATTATTGACTCATAAGAAGGGAACCCATTTTTCAGGTGTCCCCATTGTTCTAAAACAGCTGATTTAAATGAGTGGCTGATTTAAAAAGCATCTGCAACACTTGAAATAGAGCCACTGCTGAAATGGTCCTTTAAATCAGTTGTGCTTGGTTGGGACCAGGAATGAAACACTGGGCAAAAGGAAGATGACAGACTTCACAAAAGCAAAAGCACATGATGTGGATTACCAATGCTTGCATTATCCAAAACATGTTCCTGTGAAGTTTCATCTCTATTGTCCAGAAAGTGAGCTGTTAGTATGTCATGAAAGTCATGAGATTGTCATGCAGTCTTCAGTCAGAAGCCTGTTTAGATTTCCTACAAGACTGACTGCTACTGGATAACTTTCTTTCTCACAGCAGGACCATCTCTCAATGCACTTGGATGATATGAGTTGCATTTTCTTCCCCTTATTAAAGTATTTTGAATTGAATTGAATCACTTTCTCCACAACAAATCTGCATATCAGTTTTCATATTTTCAACTGAAATTTAACTTTTCCCTAATGTTCAGATGTGTTGCAATGCGCAGATTGAAAGAGTGAGTGAATCCAGACCAACCGCTTCTTTCCCTCGATTTTCACGGAAGTGACAGCAGCGGTTACCTGACGACGGTGATGAAGAGTGTCTTCCTCTTCCTCTCATCTGCGTGTGGGATCATCCAACCATGGGCGCCGATTGACAGGAAAGGCCTAAAGTAACCAAACAAAGTGAATAAATGAATGTTTGAAAAGCACAGTCCCGTTAGACAGAAATAAATAAGGAAGCTGAATGTTAAATGACAGCGCGCGAGGACGGCGGTTGGTATGGAAACAAACTGAACACACCAAAAAGCCTCAAATAAAGTTCGTTGGCTCAGTTTCCTGATCAGTTTCCTGAACTATCAAGTTACAGCAACAATTAACCTTCAGTTTGTGCTGGTGTGTGTTTTTATTTTAATCTAAAATCTACCAAAGACAACAGCAAAGTACGACAATTTCAGTTTTAAAACACTCACAGGAGGGTTTTTTCCTCACTTTCGCGGCGCCATGTTTGTTTCTGTTCACGCGACCACGTGATGTCTACGTCAGACGTATGTCACGCTCCAATCCAAAGTCCAATTTCGTCAAATCACTGCTGCACACAGCGAAAGACACAGTTCTTTAATGAACTTCTTTTGAATTGCATTAAGTTATTTTATGTATGAATACCTTTCTGACGACTTTTTCCTTTTAAGTTTTTAGTCATCTTTTAAACTCATCTTTGGCCAAAAAAGTATTTTTTAAAATCCTCTCCTAAAAGAGTGTTTATGATTTTACCCTAAAAGGGAATTCCCTTTTACAGTAAAGTAATAAGATTTATAAATAACTCGAATTCGAGTCCTACATTACCTCAGTGATTTATAAATCTAATTACAATCAAGTTACAGTACTAAAGAACACTATCACATTTAAACACTGAATGGTATTGTTTTTGAACTTCAGATATTAGAAAATGTTTTTTGCTTGTTTGGTTAATTTTGTTGCTTGGCCACTGGTGGTTTTTGATGCAAACTGTGTGGCTCAAGGCCCAGAGCACAATTTTATTTCGGGTAGCACAAATACAAACTTTGAAAATATAAAAATAAATGCATGGATGTACGTTGTGCCCCTTTTGAGTTTTATTTTGCTTACTGTAATGTATTAACACTTAGATTGACCAGGGCTGAAGATGATCATTCTGAACACAGATTCTCAAAAAGTTTGGGAATTATTTCGAGAACAAAAAACGGATCCACATTCAGAATGAGAGGCTCACCCTCAAGAACCACCAATGATGGTAACTTTGTATGATGGCAAATTTTCAGCTTGCTCAGCATTTTAGCTGGAGTAGCTTCAGAGCAGATAAGCAATTTCTCCCGATTGATTACACATATTCTATTCTACTCTACTCTATTCTATTCTATCTTCAGCTATTTCCACTCCACTCTCACTAAATCTTGAATCCAGTTCTTCTTTTTTATCACTAGCTTCATACCCATTTGGCATGGATAATAGCTATGCTTCCATCTTTATCTACCTTATGTTTGGCGTGTTCAACTTTTCAGACAAAAAACTACATACTGTTCAAGAATGGTGTCAGTATGGTTGAAACTGTCTGTTAAAAGTCAAGCATGATGCCCACTTTAATAAGGAGATGATTAATTACGAAATCCTCCTAGCATCTAATCAATGGAACAAAGCTATAATAGTCCTTAGATGTTATCTGATGTTGCCAATATTTCCTTATTTCCAAGGGCTCTGCATTTATGGCTGACTATTGGTCAAGCCAATTTCAGCATATTTTTCTGTATTTACATTGGACGGGCAGCAGGTGGCAGTATATGACGTGACGCCATTGATTCCATTTCTCAAATCATTTATCACCCTTTTTAAAATCATTGTTTCTCTGCAGGCACGTGCAGAGGGGGGTTAGGGAGGTGAAGGGAGCTTGAGCCTCTTTTATCCTTGATGCCTTTTTTATATGTTTTTTACATTTCTTTTTCAATTATTTATTTATTTTTGTATGTGTGTATCAGGAGGCCTGCTTTTGCCCCTTATCAATAATATTTAGCTAAATATGATAATTTAGCGAAATAAACTAATAATCTAATAATGTCTAATAGTCTAATAATGACTCTCAGTTTCTGCCTCCAATTTCTGCCCCCATGTTGTTCAGACACCGGGTCCACGGTGAGGAGGGGGGGGAGGGGGCTGATCTGTGTTTCTAAATACAATCTCCAAATACAATCTGAATGTCCAATATCCCAAATTATGGGCAAGGATATTTTTTTCATACACTGGTTTGTAAATAAAAACGTAGGCCTGATGTTGACGTTACAAAAACTGTTTCTATTTATATTTTAATAATTGTCCTCACAATAGTGGAAAAAACCCTCCTTGACCCTACACATATAAATGCTTCGATTGCAGAGAAACTTCTGACTTTAACTTAATCATTCTGGTAAAGGCCTGGTTCTACAGGCAGACTGAGTTGGTCTCACCGACAGATAGAAAGAATGTCTGTCTTTATATCAGATCATTAAGAGGTCACATCCTGATATAAGACACAGTGCTGCGACTGTCACCGTATGGCAAGCTATTTTTTTTTCCAACAATATCTTTATTGGTTTTTTTCAACATTTTTCCATAATATACAGGACATAAATGTGCTCTTACATCAAAGAAAAAGCCCAGGGTAATTAAATTATTGTCCAACATTCAACTTGTCAAGCCAGGTCATTATGGAGCATTTAAGAGCAGTTCTTATTACATACAGAGGATAGGAACAAAAAACATAAAATTCAAACAAACAAACAAACAAAAAAAAACAAAAAAAGAGAAGAAACAGTGTCCCCAACCCCAAACCCCCAAGAAGAAACAACAATTACAATAAAAACAGTTTCTCTATTTTCCAGGAATTAGCCCATATTATTTAGTATTGTAAGTGATTCAGAAAATACCAACTCGAATATATAATTCCAAGTAGTCCAGTATACAAATGAAGATTATCTTAGGACACTGCAGGGGACCAACTACAACTGTAACTCACCCCTGACACCCCCCATATCCATTTTTCCTATATATTCCAAAAAAGGATCCCAAATATTTTGAAATAGTGATAGTTTCTCTTTTATAATAAAAGTAATCTTTTCCATTGGTAATGTTGAGGATATTTCATTAATCCAATTAATGAATTTTGGTTTACTAATATTCTTCCATGAGAGTACTATGACTCTTTTTGCAAGTATTAAACATAGGTCCATGGCAGTAATAATCTTTCTGGACATATGATGTCTGTCAGGATATAGACCTAAAATAAACAATTTGGGGTCAAAGGCTAGTTTTATACCTAGTATAATCTCTAGAGCTTGTTTAATCTCCCTCCAGAATTGTTGAACTTTCTTGCATTTCCAGATACAATGGAAGAATGTCCCCTTCTCCTTACCACATCTAATACAGGTCTGGGATGGCGCCGTTGTACTTATGAAGCTTTTCTGGCGTCACATATATTCTCATTAACCAATTATATTGCAGTATTTTGAGGCGTGTATTGGTAGTTCGTGTTTGTGCTAAAGCACATGCTTTCTCCCAGTCCTCTGAAGGCAAGTTCTCCTGTAGATCCTCCTTCCAGGCATCGAGCTTCCATAAAGAAGATTCAGAGGATCCCTCCATTAACATGCTATATAATTTGGAGATAATTCCTTTTCTAGAGCAATCGTTCTTCATTTCGATTTCCAAGGTGGACAGCGGAGGAATGGATACACGTTGGGTTTGAAATGATCTAATGAAATTTCTCACCTGCAAATATTTAAAATGATGTTTACTTGGTATATCATACATGGCTTTCAGCTCTTCAAATGACACCATAACTCCATCCTCTGATTTCATCAGATCTCCTATTGTCTTTAGACATTTTTCAGCCAATTTTCTAAAACCAGAATCTACCCTGCCTGGGGGAAAAAACTGATTACCCCATATCGGACTAAGGCGTGACAAGGAGGAGGAGTCACCTAAATACTTCTTAACCTGATACCAAACCAAGATCATATTTCTGACTATAGGGTTTTTGTCTTCTTTTTCAGCATTCTGATTTTTGCTGAGTAAATATACTGGGGTAGAGGGAGAGGTACAGAACGAACAATTTGAATATTTAAAGCCAAGGGACATTCATCATTAAAATAATACATCATAGTCCTCAACTGAGCTGCCCAATAGTACCAAAGTGGATTGGGGCACCTGAGGCCTCCTCTATCATACGGTATATACAAGAGTGTTAGGCGAAGCCTTGGTCGTCTATTATTCCACAGAAAATATATGAAAACGTTTTTTAGGGACGAAAATAAATTGGCAGGAGGCGGCAATGGAATGTTCTGAAACAAATACAGAAGTTTGGGCATTATATTGGATTTAAGGACATTGATTCATGCTATAAGTGACAAGGGTAGACAGTTCCATCTGTCCACAGAGGCAGCAATTGAGTCTATCATGGGGTTATAGTTAACCGCAACAATGTCATTTATATGTGGTACATGGCAAGCCATTTTAACATAAATTCTGTTTCGTCTGGATATTCGTCTGGAACTTCTGATATCTGGAATTACATTCCAGATATCTCAAAATGCATTTTGACTCGACAAAACTACATTTTGACTATCCAGAATGGTAATTTAAGATATCTGCATTTCCATTCTGATTAGTGAGAATAATAATTCTAAATGTCTCCAATTACATTTTGACTAGTCAAAATTCCTTTAAAGATATCTCAAATGACGTTACTGGATCTGCAATTTGATGAAATACGTATTTGGAGTTACGAGTTAAGACATCTTGAACTTAATTATCACTAGTCAAAATTACAATTTTAGATATCTGAATTAAGCATGACATTGAAGCCCCTTTGTGCTGTCCAAACAGTTGCCTGCAGATTTTTGTTTCTTGCACAAAACTGTCAGTAAATGCCACAAAATAGAAAGAACTTGGCAATGTTGGAAATGCGGAGAAAGCAAAATTTCATAAACTATAAGACTGCTAATGATATCTGAAAAAAATCCTGTTTATTCATTTCCAACGAACCGAATGCACTTAAAAACAACTTTGAAAAGCTGAAACTGCTGTTGTCAATCCATTTTCAACATGAAAGTTGTGCATTTTCAAACATCTTTTTCATTTTTTTCTATTTTTCATTGTTTTATTAAACTTTCAAATTGCCACGTAAATCAGTGACGCTTTGACTAGACAGAATGCTAATTCAAGATATCTTAAATAGAAAAGTTGAATAATTCTAGATATCTCTAATTTAGTTTTGTTTCGTCATTATTTGCTTTTAAGATATCTATAATTTAATTTCCACTAGTCAAAACTTCATTTCTCCTATCCAAAAATACATTTAAGACATTTTGAATTATGGACTAACTAGAGATATCCTTAATATCTCTAATCAAAACTACAGTCAAGATATCTTGAATTGACTTTTTGACTAGTCATAATTTAATTGTAGATATCTGAAATGAGTATTTCAGATAGTCAGTAATTCATTGTAGATGTCTTGAATTGAAGCCTCCATTCAACTCAATGGTAAATCTGACGTCATTTTGACGAGTCAGAATGTAATTAGAGATATCTTAAATTGCTAAAACGTCTAGTCATAAAACAATTTGAGATATCTGGAACGTAAGGGCGGCAAAACCGAATTTATGTTAAAACGGCTTGCCACAGTCACCGCGAGTCGCGACGCAGCTCAAAGCCCCAGAACCACCCGGCTTCTCCTTAACGTTACTAAAGCAGCTGCTGACGGGTTCTGGGCTGGAGGTGAACGGCTTCAGCCCAGATTGCTGCCACATTTAAAACCCAGCATTTCCCCCTGAACAGTGACTTAATCTCTGGATCTCTCGCTCCGATGGATTAGGAGAAGAGCAGCTCCAGGTTTAACGATGTAGAGAGAAGATGAGACTAAAGCAGCAACTACACCAGATTTGATGTTGAACCAAACCTGCAGCGTTTCTTATTCTCGATGCCTTTTTCTCTGTGTCGCTTTGGAGACACAAAGTTTATTTATTCACAAAATAAACATCAGAGAAAATACTGGAGCAATAATTAGAACCACAGCATAAAAGCAAAACATGCCACAATTAAATGAATGTCCCCAAAGCATCGTTGGACTGACATGGGGGATTCCAGGTAGAATGCAGAAATGCGCATCACAGCGGCTCTTCTTGCAGGGCCGGCCAAAGGTAATATGGGGCCTTAGACAGATCCAACTCCCATTCATGCCCCACCAAAACCTTTCCTACTAAGAACCTCAGCATCACTAACATGTTTAAATATCAATAAGGTGAATCTGTGAAAGGGAGACCAGGTTTATTGGCCGACTTTAAATGAATCACTGATTATTGGGTACTTGCTGTGATGTATTTGTGAACAAACCCAACTCAAACACAAAGATTACACCATATTGTAGCCATGGTAACACAACAATCAAGATGATTCTTTAAACTTTTACAAAGTAAACTTCCTAATTAAATCCTAAATGTATTTTTTTTCCCTCAGCTGAATGCATTAAATACAATTTTATGACATTCTCTATAAATTAATGCAACAGATTTAGATCTATGATCTGTCTTACAATTAAACCATTTCTAGGGGCCCCTGAATCTCTAGAGGGCCCTACCAGCAGCTACTGAGTTTTCTTTACTTTGATATCCCAGGCTTTCAATTGTAAATCTCAGAGATGCTAACATCAAACAATTTTATAGAGTTAACCCCTTCTTGTTTTTTTTTTGATCTACAAATCAGTCTGCAGCTAAGTTGTTCTAGAGTTTAAGTAGATATTATTAGGGCTTAATTAGTAAAATGGCTGCAAATTTGCTTATTTCATAACTTCATAACCTTTGACCTTCTCTCCTCTGGTCTGTTTAACACCTACAGTCTCAGTTAAACTCAGTCCTCCAGAAACAGCAACTTCATACTTTGGGGAAAATATACATTTGCTTTGCATTGTCCCCACATGATGGCAACGATATAGTAGGATCCAATTAAATTCTTGATTAATATGTGTAGTTGCTATGTTGTTGTAAAGTGTTTTAAGATCTTACTCAATGTGCCCTTTTTTAACTTTGAGCCCCTGCCCCTCCAAAGGTCTCTGCACGGCCCTGGCTCTCTGTTTCTAGAATCTCACAGCTTTACGCCTCAATGTCAGAGACACACTCTAATTGGAACATGCTGCTGACCCTTTGGCCTCTAAATGTAGCAGAAAGTCAGAGAAAAATAAATTGGTTTCTGTAATATTTTTGTTTGGGGGGGTTTCATGCACTGAGCCATATCAGCTCTCATGTTCTGCTTTCTCTCTGCCAGAGAACAATTTAAAGTGGTACATAAAATTGATTTCTGAGATTGCATCATGTATCATAATTTTAGGTGTGATGGAATTGGGATAATAACTTTGAGATTGAGATATTTAAACAGCTTTAAATAAACGTTATATTTTCTCATTGTATTCATGTAGAGCTATTCAAACCTCATGCTAAATCTAAATAATACAAAGTCACTGAAAAAGGAATAAACAGTCAATGATACAAAAAGCTGCCCTGAGGTCCTGAGCAATGAAAACGTTAAGCTCTGATGTTCCCTGTTTCTGGGCTGTTTGTTTGGTGGTGCTGGAAGAACTAAGAGTTTTAAAACAAATTCTCTTGACACAATACATATTACTGAAATAGAGACAAAGAAATCTGAAAGTACAAAAGAACAAAGTTACTGAGCAGTATACCATCATACAACCAAGCTGAAACAACTGTGTAACATACTTCCATTCAGTGATTCTCTGAAGACTTTTTTCTAGAAATTTATATAGATCCAATGATATTTAAAAGTAAACGTTTATTGTCAATTATATTTCAGGCCAAAAAGAAGCTGCATTTGTCTTTGTGACCAGGGGGCCTGGTTGCTCTCAGCTCTGCAGAACTGGACTGGCGGGTTTTTCAACTGCATCAGCTGTGGGTTCTGGTGTGCAGACCTTTGAGTTTTCAAGCTGCTCAGACGATGTGAATCTTTTGTCAGCTGAAGCATGAAGCTGGCTGTTTCTCAAAATCTGCTTCTCCACAGGAACATATCGCCTGCTGAAGTGTCTCCACAGCTGCTTCCACACAATGTAAATGAGCTCTGAGAAGTTGAGGGCTATACACAGAATGGAGGTGCAGCACATGATGTAGAGGAAGATCTTCTTCTCTGTGGCTCGGGCTATGTAGCAGTCCACAGTGTTGGGGCAGGGTTCTTGTGTGCACTGCATCAGGATGGGCACCCCAAAACCACCGTCCAAGTAGTGAAAAGCCAGCAAGAACCCCACTTCAAAGCCCGTCTTAAAGATCAAGCTGATGACATAGGTGCAGAAAAGACCACCATCAATGCTCCCTTTGTCCTTGTAGAACTTTTTCTTGTGCTTGGCCTCCCGGTGCTCCCTGTAGCCCACATGAAGGGCCACCATTAGGGATGGTGTGGACACCATGATGAGCTGCAGAGCCCAAAGACGAATCTGAGATATGGGGAAGAAGTGGTCGAAGCAGGCATTCTTGCAGCCGGGCTGCAGTGTGTTGCACACAAAGTCTTTTTGCTCGTCCTTCCAGACCTGCTCAGCCGCAGCTACATATACCAGGATCCTGAACAGGAAGACCACAGAGAGCCAGATCCGGCCAATCGAAGTGGAGTACTTGTTCACTCCGCTCAGAATCTTCTCCAAAAATCCCCAGTTCATTGTTCACTTGTCTCCTGTGAGGACATAACAACCAGTTAGACTCTAAATAACACAAAGCAGCCATAAAGTATTAATATTGTTGAATCACAAATGCAATCATGATGAAAAAAAAGTACACCCTTTTCAATTTTTGGGTTTTATGAATTAGAAGATTAACCTAAAAATGAACCTGTACTGCTGGTCACATTCAATGATCAATTAATTACATATTCCGGAATAGTGGCAGCATCTTGGGGTAGATTGCAATAAGATTTTTTGGCCAAGGCATTGGATACTTCATCTGTTATTCCCTCTGGTTTGGGATGATGTCCAGTCCAAAATATGTTTTCATCTCACTTTGTTACTTTTGCACAGTTGTTATGATGCACAACCATGACAAGTGGAGGCAGCTGATTAGTAACTCAAAAATTCAAATAATAATAGCATGATGCCTTTGAAAAGGAGCCATCAGGGATTAGACCAGGACCAAAGAGTAAAGGATCAAATCCCATACTCTAACATCTCTCTAAGCATACAACCAGACAGAAATTCAAAGTGGAGCAGCAAAAGCAAACCGGGTGGATTAGCAGTGTTTGCTAACAACTGATGTTGTCATACAGGACATGTTACTGTAAAATATCGTCTCCACTGCTTGACACTGAGCTGTTAGCATCCCATGACTGTCATAAGACTGTAAGGCAGGAACAGTCTTCACTTAGATGCTTTTTCAGAATTGTTGCCAAAGTAGTATGTTTAGACAAGCTAGAAGTAAGCCAATGCCAGGCTCTCCAAACCTGAAAGAGCTTACGTTTATGAAATAAGCAGTATTTCTAAATTACTTTTTGACTGTAAACCAGTTTGTTTTGATGAAACATAGCACTAAGACCCAATTTTAGTGCTATATTTTTATATAGCACTATATTTTAGTCCTTCAACTTTTTGAGAAAAAAAATATTGTTCTATATTGTTTGGATGTTGCCTAAAATGTAACGACAGTTTAAATTCTTAAATTGCCTCAGAAAAATGATGTATAAAACCCTAACCTCCAAAAAGGTTTAGGTTCATGACATAAAATAACAAAACACCTGAACAAGTTTGGCTGTTTTGGAAGTTTATGACTTCCAACCTCCTCTGGTCTCATCTAAACTGCTGTTTAGTTGAGACCAAAGTAGAGACGTTTGACCATATCCCACAGTTCCATGTCTGAAGAATGGCTAACATAGCACATCAGTAAACCCACATCATACCAACTGCCAAACATGGTAGAGGACGAGATATGATTTAATCTCATTTTGCAGCCGAAGGAATTACATTAATTAGTCACCTTCACAAAAAACTTAATGCCAGGATTTTAGAGTTCAGATTAAAGTTCAGGTTATTTATCTGAGCTCCCATGTGAGTCTCATTTTCGACTTGTGTAGGAGGGAGCCAGCTGCTCAACACAAATTTGTGATGTAAAATATGAAAATATGGCAGGACTGGTGAAGAATAGCAAACATCATTTCATGACTTTTACCAATATGAGATGTGTTTGATTTGTAATTCACAAATGGGCAGAAGAAGAAGAAAAACTCGTCTTTCTGGTTGCAAATGTCTGCAGATCTTTAGAAATTGAAGCAGATTAGAGAGATGATACATTACTAGTAAAGAGTTTTATCTTGCTGGATGAAGGCATACATTGTTTTTACCTCATCAAAAAAAGATAAAAAAGATGCTTATCAACCATAAGCTTTAGGTGAATAAAATACCTAGACATGCCTCTTGCTATTCTCTTGGTCTTCTGTACCACACAGAAAATTATGAATGTATCTTTTAACTAACAATTTGGCGTGGACCACCTGCTGAGACTTTGAGTCCCGAAACATCCAAAGTCTGAGTCCTTGAAAAAAATCTTCAGGAATTAATAAGCAAACTGATGGCTTCCAAAATTATAGCCACCAGTGGAATCACCTGTTATTGCCATGTGTGCAGCACTGCTTTAAAGGAAATGATGTAGGTTTCCAGGATTCAAATCATTTCAAAGAACAATCAACCATTTATTTTAGCTCCCAAACACTGTCCAATGAATACAGCGCTTTCAATGTCTTTTTTGTGTTGTTGCCTTTTCAAGGGGTAAACGGCAATTTTGTGAAGGACTTTAAAAAATAAAAGGGAAATGAAAGCAACCTGACATTAGAAGAAGCAAAACACAGCATGCTGTTTAGAACTTTGCTTCCAGTCTCAAAGTGTTGGTTTTGCACATAAATATAAGTGAATTGGGGCCCTCCCTTACCTCCATTGAAAACATTAAAAACTACCTGATCTCATTGAACAGAGTAAAATCTGTGTTTATGTTATTTGGTTTTCACTCCAACTTAGTGACTACATCATACATAAGTTATGTGAGTTTGGGGAAACTGATCTCTGTGGAATGAAATTTGCAAATAATCAAATGACTTGCTGATCTGGTTATTCAGCCTGAGGCCAGATTTCCAGGTCACACAGATACAAACAGAAAACCAGCTTGCATCAATCTAAAAGTCTAAATCCATGTTCTAAAGCAGACAAGAGACTAGAACTCACCAGTCACGTAAAAAAGGGAGACCCAGATGGTTTGGTTTTCTTCTGTTAGTCACACCTGATCCAAGCAGACTCACATCAGTCTGCTTTCTGTTCTGTTTTCTTTACAGCGCTCTGCCTTTCCTGTAAAATGTGGCCAGCAGTCACCTCGAAGCGCGTCGCCTGAGTGCTTCACCTGCTGGAAACTCTGTGGGAGAGAACAAAGACTGCATCAGTAATGCAAATAAAATTCATTCATGGCCACACCAGTCCAGGTGGGTTGTGCTTTCATTCCTCCTTCACCTGCCTGCTGCTTCCTGATGACCCAGGAATCATGTTACTGTGCTGATGAGTAAATAATACATGTCACCTCCTCGGGTCAGTCGTCCTGTTGCTCATCTGTTGGACTTTGGCTGGAAGTCAATAAAAAATACAGACATCATATCTGAGGCAATAATGCACTGTCCATGGGTCCTCTATGGGCCTGCACACCTGTTTTTGGTTTTGTTTTTTGCTTCTTTTAACGGAAGTGTACTGGGTTCTGTCCTGTGAATTGTTGCGTTTTTTGTGCTTACTTGTCCTGGAACAAAGGATGACATTGAATTATTGTGCTAAGTCCTGCATATCTCCACTGCCACAAATTGTGGTTATGGTGATTAATGGGCACTGTCCTAATCAAATAAATTCATTTCAACACATATAAATAAATAATCTATCAGCAATGAAAAACCAGTCAGCGCCTAAAGAATCAAATTTCTGACTTGGTTCAGTGTTGGTTTATTTGTGACTGAATGTTGTTTTATGTCCAATTTTGTCATGGATTGATTCCTGCCACTAATGTCCTCTCTAGGTTTTGCGACATCCCACCATTTCCTCCCTCAACAAATACAGACACTGACGCCCTCCACAGCAAAAGGCCATTGCTAAAGAAGTTGGCTGTAAAAGGGGAATATAAAATTGACCTTTTTGAGCTTTACATCATCCTATAAGGTTATTCCATCTTCAAAAGATTCCACCTCAGAAAACTCTTGCCCCTGTAACTCCCTCACTCAGTTCCTTCAAACTAGCCAGCTACAATTGGAAAACAATTGGCATACTTCTTGGTGCAATGCTGGTAAAAACTTTGTTAAAGGGTTAATAGAGCAGCTATGCTGTAATGACTTCATTAGGGGTGAGTTCCAGAAAGAGCAGGAGATCTTCAACAGATAGAGGCCCAATTTCAAAGCATTCATTTACAAAGTCAAATTTTCTAAAAGTCATTTCTGATATGTATTTTTATAACAATTGGTACTGACCCTATTGTTACAATTGAATTACACTTCCTTTATTTTGCTATTCAAGTCTTTTATTTGGCAGCAGATATTGCTCCCTATCCTGAAAAAAGAAAATGTGAAATATTTTTTCTTGTTAAATGTTCAGTTTTTCAACTTTAAAACTAAATCTGATTTCTCTGTGCACCTGTATCTTTTCTAGATTCTGGTTGTATGCTTCATGAATATTTAGGACACTTTTCTATTTCAGCTAAATTTATCTTTTGCTTGCTTCCCTCTTTTTCCAGCACCTTTAGTTTGGCTTTTGTTGGCAGAAGTATACTAAATCTCCAGATGTTGGCGGAAAACCCCTATTTAGACCTAAAATATCTACATATTTCAGTTTGCTTTTAAACTCGAGAGTGTTCTCGAGATTAAAAGCAAACCTGTTCTGGCAGGTGTAAGTTCTGTTACTAACACTGTTTATACAAAAAATGGCTTCATGCTAAAAATAAATAAATTAATTAAAATAAAAAAAACAGCTCCAAGAAACGGTACTATTTGGTCTTGATGTGAACCAGTGAAGGAATCATTTACACCCTCTTGTGGCAAGTCCATATAAAATGGCCAATATGAAAATCTATTGAAAAAACACCCAAAAAGCACCAAAATATTCTTTTTAGTTTGTCATTAAGAGACTCAGACAGCATAGATTGTTCAAAAATATCTGCTGGACCATTACAGAAGTGAAAATGAACTTTGCTGAAGACGCTGCTAACACCTTCAATAATCATTGATGACCTTGTTGCCTCTTTCCCTTCCAGCTTCAGTTTTGTTGAACATCCATGTCCATGTGTCTAAGGAATTGGACAGTGGTCAGCATTTGGCTTCTTGTTTGCACACAAAGGCTTGAAGCAGCAAGAATCTCATAGAAATTCTTGATCTATGTCCGTCAGCAGGTGAGTTGAATTTATTCCTCGACTGGTTTAATAATATTCTGGCCTGCTGACCAAGAACTACGCAAATGCATTGAAGATTACCAGCTAGTAAAAATGTACACAACTGAACTCAGGCTTTGATTTCAAGCAGTCTATATTTACACTTCAGGAAAAAAAAGAACAGAATCAAGTGAAGGAGACTATTTTTGCAAATCTGTCATCAAAAACAGCAAAATGAGGTTAAAAAATGTTTGTGACAATGTTCTTCAATGCTAAACAAATCAATCGTATTTTACATTTTACCTTGCAACTGGGTAATAAGAGAACAGAGGAGGAAAAACACATAAAAACATTTAAATATGTCCAACCAAGCATCTCAGAAACTCAAAGTATGAAGTCAGAGTAGAACTGAATGTACATTGTTTATTTGAAACAACAAAATCTTCTGACACGTTAATTAGAGACATTAGTACAACTGCATAGGAAATGTTTTTAATTTTAAACAACAAACATGATCAATGTATTGGGAAAAAACAAAAATAAAACAAAAAGATAAGCCAGAATTCTCTGAGCTTACAAATGCTCTGATGGTCCATGAAAGAAAAAAAAACTACAGTTTTTTTAAAACTACGTAGCATTTATTGCTACGTAGTTTGACATTTTGTTGCAGAAATCAGTAGTTTTGTAAACCAATGCAGCATGTCAATCAAACTGCAGTAGCAGCTACATAGCTAGGCAGAGTTCACTGGGGAGGCAGCCTCTGCTACCATTAACAGTGCATTCTTTAATCATAGTTTTTTTCCACATTCCAAGTTAAAAATACAGAAAAACGATCAACTGGAGTGCTCTCTATAGTCGTACTACTAACTTGGACAGTTGGAAACTAATCACCAGTCAAGTTGACATAGTAGCATTTGCACTTTGATGATCTGCAGGTAAACATGTTTCTACATAGGTTAAATGGGAAAAACACAAGAAAATATATTGTTTAATACTTAGCAAAATCTCCCAGATCTTTCATTTGTAACTGGAGGTGACAGTTATAATTCCCAGGTCCAATTATAAATGCAAATAGAGTGCATACTGTTCTGAGGTTAACAGTATGCACTCTATTTGCATGCTGTTCTTTTGCATTTGGGAAACCATTTATAGACCAAACATTTCAGTCGTCATTTATTAAACTTATACATGCTGCAGTATAAGTTTAATAAATAGAAGAGACCCAGACTGTGGATTCAATCAACACAAGGAAGGTAAAATAAACAAGGAACCACAATCCAAATGTGATCAATAGAATTTCTGTCTAATTTAACTTTTTTTTTTTTTCATTTTAACAGATGTAGCATTAAATGAAATTAAAGCAGATTCTTAACCTAACCTGTTAGGTCCTACTGTGTGTACAGGGTCTGAATATAAAAGATGACACATCAGCAATGAGGGTCCACCCTTCATGTTTGCACAATAGCATGAAAAGTTCTAAATAAGGAGGTTAGGGCCAACTATGTAGTCTGCTACGATACTGTGAATTAGTAGCACAAAGTTAATCTGCTTAATATTATACAGGAAAGAAATGAAATATCAGCCAGACTTAACAGATCTTTACCACTACTACTTTTAATTGCCTTAGTCCAATAATAATGGACTCTTTATTAAAGGAAGACAATTTACAAAAAACAAAAACAAAAACAAAACAAAAAACAACAGCAAAAGAATCATCAATGGTGCACACTATGAGATGCTTCAAAAAATGTACCAGTCAGATATTGTTGAAAATTCTGGGGAGGTTTCCAGCACTCCAGTGAAAAACTCAGTCATTTTGTATTTCAGCATAAAACTAATCTGTACCAGAGACATGGAAAGATGTATTTTTAGGATAAAATGGTAGTTGCACAAGAAAATGGCTTCTTTCTCAGAGCAATTGTGTGCTTGCCTTGAGTTTGAGCCTCACTTTGCAGTCCCGGTAAGTAGACATGCTGTTTAAAGTTTAAGGAGCTCCGCGCAGGTTCTTACTGTCAGTTTGCATGGCAGCAAGAAAACAATGAGCTGCATTAGCTGCCATGCTGTTACATAAAGGTTTTCTTTTTTCTTTCTCTTGTAAAAAAAACAACCTCCAAGAAAAGTTTCACACGTTCCACATGCAGACACAGTAGGTGAAAGTAGAACTGGGTGGCTCTTCACAGTAAAAAAATATCCAGGCTAACAGAAGTTTTAGTTCCCAGAGAAAAGCTGCAACAGTTATTGTGATTTCTACAAACAAAAGCAGAGGTATGCTGTGGATGCTCACACATGCAGAAAAAAGTGTAAACAGCAGATTTGCTAAATGCTTAGGAATGCATCTCAGAGACAGAAAGGTAAGAATATAATGTGACCAGTTTAAACTGGTCTGAAGTTAAGGTTCAGACATTTTTAGGCCTTAGTTCCTGTGCTGTAAATGTGACACTTCACTGTTCTTTTCATGACAGGAGTGGAAACTTTCACACTTACACACATTTATCTTCACTGCAGCTTCATCTCTAGGCAGACTGATAAGCTTACAAATTAGGAAACTGTGACCTTAAAAACACAATTTGTTGAGCTTATTGGCTAAAATTATCTTGAAGAATGTATAAAATACGAATCCAATTTTTATGAAAAGTTAAACTTGCTATGGTTGTAGTAAGCTTAAAGAAAGTAAGCAGGAAGCCTGAACATCTGCAGATCCAAAAGTCTATTCATCATTAAACAAAATGTTGTGTTATTTAGAGCCATTGTTTGGCTTTTAACTTAATCTTTTATATCATCAATGTAATACACTTTGTGCATACTGAAAGTGAATCATGTATAAATGAAATTTGGGGATTTTCTATAAAACAACACTCTTTGAAACTTTGCATAGCCAAGAACCAGACATTTCCTTCCAGGTGTTCTAGCTCCATACGCTGCAAGATTACTTAATAAGAATAACGGCAAGCAGTTTGTTACAGGACTGTAAAACTGGAACATTTTAACTGTATATAAACATGCATGGTGCTGAAGTCTTCCTTCCTAACCGGTCTCACAATCTCATACTCCATGTTTAGACAACAAATGAATCCCAAGAAACAAAGAGATGGACGCCACAAGAGATTTGCGTAGTAAGGAATTTTTGGGTGTAGCTGCTATATGTTCTGGATGCTACCATGATGCAGATAAAGATGCTATTTTAGTATAACTTAAATTTGGTCTTTTACCAATCATTAGATGGTTGCACTGGAGAGAGCAGTGTGAACACTGTGCATTTACTGGAGAAAGCAGAGATCTATATGCTCTGCACTTCCCCCTGGATTAGTCCTCTAAGCTAGGCAGGAACACACACACACACACATCTGAGTTTTGCACCAAGTCCATTATGCTGGTTGAAAGTCAGAAATGAGTTTTTTTTAGCATTTGTTTTAATGCAAAACAGAAATGTCTAATTGTCCGATATAAAGTGGGTGTAATGCAGGTTGTACCATTGACAGAAGAAGAACAGAAGCCTCTTGCTGAGTCCACAGGTATTTTCCAAATGAATTTTTTTGCATGCCAACATCACTTAGGTGTGAAAACAACTTCAAGACCAGAAACATTAAGAATCCAAGAAGACTCAAACTTAGCTTTTGTTAAATTAGTTTAAATTGTTTACCAATTTTTTAAAATTAAGTATTTTTAATACTTAGTTATTTTATGTTTTCCAATTAAACAATGATTCACCACATCCCCTAAAATATGTATTTTACATTGGTTATTCAGATTTTTGTTGCTGAATGTATCTGCAAAACGGCATGTGGCAATTTTTCTACATGCTCTTAAAGGGGCAGTACAGTGTTTCCTAGCCACATGATTATTTTGTAGCACATTTGAGTAATTGTTGACTTTAGTTCAGTCATTATACCAATGTGGTATACATCAAATATGATTTAAAATGAACTTGACTTTGTATTAAAAGCCTTGATATTGGCCCTCTGTCTGTCTCTTCAAACTCCTGTTCAGACACGCTGCCTTCAGGAAGAAGGAGCCCTGCTCCTCTGTCAAGCCTTTAACAGCATTTTTACAGGCATTGCACTAAGAATTAGTTTGTATTATGAGCTCAGCTGATATGCAGTTCCACCAGGTGCTTTAAAAAACTGCAGCTCCGAAGAGGAACCTCTTCCTCAGTCCACCCCTGCATTTTGCACAGCTGAATAGTTGCCAAGGGAGATTCAAGGATTTCTCAAACATGCATGGAAAAAAATGAATCAATCAAAACAACACTAACCTCTATTCTGAGGGCAATAGAATTTTTCAGTGTCAGAACTTCAGAGATAAACTTTTATTTACAGTCAGTTAACAGCCGCATTCTACATCTTTACTCTGTCACTTTGACAGTGGGGCTTCCAGAGCCTTGGCAAGAAGGGCAGCTAAACTCCCCAAACAACAATGCCCAAGAGATAAATGAGCAAGAAAGCTCAAGAAAGTTACATAGACATGTGTAAAATTAGCTGTAAACTGAGCCGTGTGATGGCACCCAGTCAGATGTTGGCAGTGAAGAACTTTGCCTTTTTTAACTTCAGAAGTGCTCAAATTATCCAGAAAACAAAAATGAGTCCTTTTAAACAAAAGCAGCTGAAACAGAAGCAATCTGACAGGTCAGATAAAACTAATGTCATTTTAAAGATATGAACAGAACCTGGAAGTTTATATTTACATGTAGTATTTTGTTTAGGAGACAAGTCATAATTCAATTTTATCCTAAATTGATCTAGTTTCCATTTAGGTTCAAGTTTGGTGGAAAATAAGCAACTTCAGAGAAAAGAGGGTCAGGTAACTACAGGAAATAAACATCTGGCTTAAAACGACAAATAGTCAAGTGAAGACTATCCTGCTAATTTCTGAGAATGTTTTAACCCAGGTTAGTCAAAAATTGGATCAAATTTAGTATCCATTTAAAAAGTAGAAACTAAACCAAGTGGAGCTTACAGGATCAAGTTTGATTTTTGTTATACATGTCCCTTTGCTTTGGAGTTAGGTTTTATGTTCTCCATAAAAATGGAGTTTCTAAGTACTATAAAGGATTCTCAAATTTTGTAAAACAGCATTAAGGAATGTGCAGAGGTTTAGATTTGGATGAAATATAATGCTTCGTTTGGAACAGCTTACTACATACAAGTGCCAGTTTTTGTAATTTCATGCCAGTGTTTCTGTGTGATCGTCATTTAATATTAACACAGGGTAGTCTTTAAAAGAGAAGCAGCAAATATGAGTTTGACATGCGTCCATCCTCACTCGTTATACACATTTCACTGAGTGCTTCTGCACCGCTTACACTGTGCAATTCATGGCACTGAAGCCAGGCAGCGTGACGCGCCCGTGGTTGTAGATGTCCCGATCGGAGCCCTGGTTCATGCGCTTGACCAGGTTCTTCTCGTACAGCAGCGGGTGGTAAGCCCCGAATGTGCAGGCGGCGTCATAGAAACGCTGATAGTAGTGGCAGAGTGCCGTCTTCCGGCGAGACGGCAGAAACTCGTAGACGTGCACCACCTCACACAGTGACATCATCAGGATGGTGCCTGCACAGACAAAAGGAGATTTCTCTTAGAACTTGAGAAAATGTACTTCAAAAGTGGCCTAAGGAAGGGTCACAGGTGACCAAGGTGTTTGTGAGGGATGAAATGCTGGTCACTGCGGTGCCGATTTGACTTCCAACTTTCCCAGATCTCAAGCCAATAGAAGTTGACCGCAAGAAATGAAACTAAATAGACTCCAGTATTCTTTGGGTGATTTAATAGTGATACAAATATCCATACGGTCATTAGCCCAGACTTGGACCATCAAAAATTATCACTTTTAGAGCTGGAGATTCTGCTCCCATGTTGAGATTTCTTACCACATTAATTTGTGGTGAGGAGGTCATTTTTATCTAACATGTCAGAATCAAAGTGGTCAGAAGATAAGCAGGAAGTGGTGAGACAGCTGGTGGTTCCCATACCAAGCAGACCAGAGGAGGGCGGGTTCTTCTGTATGGGTTCAGCCATGTTGTCCTGGATCCGCTGCCACAGCTGCCACTCAAAGCGAGGATGCAGGATGTAGAAGGGCTGCTGTGGGTGAAGCCTCCTATATCTCTGATACTGATTGAAGATGGGATAATCTGTGTGGTTGTACCACTGCAGGAGGGAGGAACAGGACATGGAGAAAGGTTTCAGATAGATTATGCCAGATTTTCTTATTCAAACCGCTCCTTCTTATTCAAAACTTTTGTTTATGTCAGCATGTGACATGTTTAATTTAAACTGTTAATCATGAAATAAACAAATAATAAAAACTTAAACTATTAGAGGGAACTTCTACAGGCAGGTTGTCAATAAGGATTAAATGAAAAGGAGAATGAAGAGGAAACTGATAAAAAAAAATAAATAAATCACCTGACTGAGGTTGGAGGAAAAGGGGGCGGGGTCCCAGGCCACCAGAACACCTGAGCTGTACAGAGAACTGGACAGGAAGCGATGGTCATCAGACGCCATCACCTGGAAGACAAAAACTTTGTTAAAATCCTCTTCACTTCCTGCTGGGGGCAGAGGATTTTTCTACCACAAAATAAGTAAACTTGACTGCACTTTGCAGAACAAACACCACCTAAATGAGTAATATCAGCAAGTTACAATACAGTATGACACTACAAACTACACTGAGACCTCCAATAGAAGAAAAGATTCATCTCTTTCCAGTTACAAAAAAAACCTATATAAAGATGTCTACATGTCTATTGTGAAATCAAATAGACATTAAAAAGTGAGGGATGAATCAGGAATTAAATGTTTGTAATAAACTGGCTTATTTATAGTGTTTTAAGATTTCATAACGTTCACCTCAACGCTTACATTGGTTATTGTTGCTACTATATAGGTAAATTACTTCATTGGCATATATTTCATAGACCAACAGAAAGAAATTAAGTATTTTTTCTCCAATTTTTCAAGGTTTATTGAATCCTTCAACAACCAAACATACAGTGAAACCAATATTGACAATATCAGTACTGTAAAGTATACAACATTAAGTAATCATACTTAGAAGGACTTGATTTTTAACATTTTCTCCCGTGAACCCCTTCCAATCCTCCCGCACTCCCCTCCTCTCAACCAGCAGAAGAAAATAAATACAAATAAAATTAAATAATATCAATAAATGGCTCACACACTGTGCCTTTCTATTTTTGGCGAATGGTATTTGGCCTTTCCTCTCTGTTTGTCAGAACGGTTCCCACATACTCTGATATGCCTCAATCTGGCCATTTATTTTGGGGATGAGTCTTTCGTAAGAGGCGGTCTCTAAGAGTGCTGCATACCGTTCTGTATAGGTATGGGTATTTTGACCTTTCCAGTGTCTTAAAATAAGTCACCTTGCTGTGATGAAGGCTATTTTTAACTATTGTTTTTTTTTTGTTTCAATTTTGACCTTGTAGTCTAAGAAATGAAGAGGGCCAAATGTAGGTGTCAAGATTAAGTTTGAATTAAGGGTGCTTTGAATTTTTCTCATAACCTCCTACCAGTAAGAAGCTAGGTTCGGGCCTATGAGGAATGTTCCTCATATGCAAGTTTCCCAGACTTTGTTTACATCACCAGCAAATATCGGAGTTACTTATCCTAGCTCTAAATAATTTAACTGGGCTCCAATATAAATGATTCAGAATTTTGAACTGTATCAATTTGGAGCGTGCGTCCCTCATGGGCTTCAACATTTGTTTGACTATTACACCCCATTGTTCCTCTTTGAACTTTTTATTTAATTCTGATTCCCATACCTTTTTAAGTCCTGTATTAATATTGCAAGTGTTCTCAATCAGGTAGTTATAAATATGACTTACTCGTCTTGGGGAGTCTTTCAATTTATTAAAAATATTGTATACTGGTGATTCCGTGGGTATGGTTACCTCAGGTTTCTTTAATTTTGTGAGGCAGTCCCTTATTTGTAGCAACTTTCAAAAATCTTTGTGGTTTAGACTGAATAGTTCTTGAAATTGTTGAAATGACAGTAAGTCACCATTTTCGAAGAGGCAGTTTATAATGTCAATCCCTTTTGTTTGCCAGCTCCTCCAAAAGATCATTTTCCCCTCTATTTTTATTTTTGGGTTATTCCACACTGAGGCTTTTCCTTGAGTGAATGGACAAGTTTTTGTTTTTTTAATGTAAATGCTGTCAAATATTTTCGGTGTGAGTCATAATTGGATTGGATTGGATTTAACTCCATCTTTTGGATATTGGGATAGATCGTCAAAAGCTTTGAATGAAGCATTTACTTCACCTTCCAACTTTTCCCAGATAGGACTACTGTGGTTTTTTAACAAAAGTGATGTTACTTGTGCACTTATAAAAGCTTCCTGATAAAGTTGTATATTGGGAAATCGTAATCCTCCGTATTTTAGTTTGGAGTGTTAGGGCAGACACTTCAGGCTTTTCCCCCTCCCAAATAAAATTGTTTATGATTTTGTCCAGGATTGTGGTATAGGTTGTGGTAGTTTGAGGGGTAATAAATTGAATAGGTAATTTAATTTTGGTGTAATAATCATTTTAATGGCCTGGACTCTACCCCACAGTGATATTTGTAGTTTGTCCAACTCCTTGAAAAGTACGCTTATCTTATTTTTCACAGGTTCAAAGTTGTCCAGAATAATGTCTTCCAGACCCGGGTTCAGCAGTATGCCTAAGTATTTAAGTTTTTTTGGTACCCACTGAAATTTCCACTTTTGCATGTGACTTTTTTAACAAAACTTTGATAGGGGCATTACATTTAGACCAGTTGATCTTGTATCCGGATAATTCAGAGAAATTGTTGATCAAATCGAGTAAAGGAGGTAATGATTCCTCAGGGTTCGACAGTAGAAGCAGTACATCATCTGCAAAAATCAGCATTTTGTTGTCTAGTCCGCCCATTGTTATACTTTTTATTGTTTCATTTTGTGTGATGCTTGGGCCAAGGGTTCGATTGCGATAATGTCGAGCAGGAGTGACAATGGGTCTCCCTGTTTGGTCCCGCGTTCGATTAAGAATTCAGATGATCTCAATCCATTGGTTGTTACTGTCGCTTTTGAATCTGAGTGTATCATTTTTTATTATTTCTAGAAGAGATTGTTGAAATCCAAATTTTGCCAGTGTGTAGTACAGATAACTCCAGCTGACCCTGTCGAACGTCTTTTCTGCGCCCAATGACAGGGCCGCTACCGGAAAGTTTTACTATTAGGCCTTCCAAATCAGATGTAGTAATCGTCTTAGACTATCCGAAGAGATTCTGCCCTTGACAAAGCCTACTTGGACTGGGTGTATAATTAATGTTATGACCTTGTTAATCCGCAATGCTAATATTTTTGTGAATAATTATGCATCACAGCATAATAGGCCTTTTGGCCTGTAGCTTGATCGATTTCAAATCGTGCTTTCCTTTTTTCGAGATGACAGTGATTAGTGATTCTTTCATTGATGTGGGGAGTCAATGTGAGTCGATAGCTGAATTAAAAGTTTTCAATATTTCTGTGCTCAGTTCGGATATAAATTTTTATAAAAATCGTTAGGAATACCATCTAGGCTTGGAGTTTTTCCATTGGGTGAGACTTTAATAGTTTTAATGAGCTGTTCCATGGTTATAGGCCTTTCTAGTTGTGTAGCATTCTCTTTGGACAGTTTCTAAAGGTTTAGTCTTCAAAAAAACTCTTCTGGTGAACTTGGATCAAATTGTCCTTGAGAATACAGGTGTTTATAGAAATCTTTGAAGGCCTTATCGATTTCTTTCTGACTGGTCATTATGTACCCAGCCTTGTTCCTTATTGCACTAATTTGACGCGCTGCTTGTTTGGCCTTTAATTGACTGGCTGACAATTTATCAGCTTTTTCGCCTAATTCATACCATTTCTGTTTAATCCTGAAAAGAGAGTACTCTACTTTTTTTTATAAAAATATTGTGTTTAGCTCATATTTACCTCTAACCAGTTTGTCAAAAGTTAATGGGTTAAGAGAGTGTGAGATAGAATAGAATTCAACTTTATTGTCATTGCACTGTCACAAGAACAAGGCAATGAAATGTAGTTTGCATCTGTCCAGAGGTGCTATACAGGATATAAATATTTATTACAAAGATAAGGTGTATAAACAGAGAGTAATTGTAACGTGCTATAAAATAAAATGTTTTGTGTAAATATAAATATGAGAGCTATGTACATATTATACAAATTACACAAATTATACAGAATATACAGGAATATTAGTAGTGGATTGTATATGTATTAGTTGTTTTATAATACAGGATAAATAATGGCAAATTAGATCTACAGATTATATAACGATTGTATACAGATCATGTATGTGTGTGAGGGAACAGTCCGGGGACGGGGCGTACAGTCATTATAGTTTGTGTCAGAAGCAGTTCAGGAGCGTGACAGCTGTGGGAAAGAAGCTGTTCCGGTGCCTGGTGGTTCTGGTCCATAGGCTTCGGTAACGCCTCCCAGAGGGCAGGCGAGAGAAGAGTGTGTGTGCAGGCTGAGTCAAGTCCTTGGTGATTTTTCCGGCCCTTTGCAGACACCGCTTTCTGTAGATGTCGTTGATGGCAGGGAGCGGTGCCCCGGCGATGTGCTGGGCAGTTTTCACCACTCTCTGCAGAGCCTTCCGGTCGGAGACAGAGCAGTTCCCGTACCAAACTGTGATGCAGTTGGTGAGGATGCTCTCAATGGTGCAGCGGTAAAAGTTAGTGAGGATCTCTGAGGACAGGTGGTTCTTCCTCAAGGTCCTCATGAAGAAGAGGCGCTGGTGCGCCTTCTTGATGAGTTTGGAGCAGTTGGTTGTCCAGGTCAGGTCCTCGGAGATGTGGACTCCCAGGAACTTAAAGCTGTTCACACGCTCCACCGCTATTCCCTTGATGTGGATGGGTGGGTGCAGGTCAGCGTTCCTCCTGAAGTCCACGATGAGCTCCTTGGTCTTCTCGGTGTTCAGCTGCAGGTAGTTCACCGTGATGTCATCTGCAAACTTGATGATGGCGTTAGAGCCATGGACAGGTCTGCAGTTGTGGGTGAAGAGGGAGTAGAGGAAGGGACTCATCACACAGCCTTGTGGCACTCCAGTGATGATGATGATGGTGGATGAGAAGCGGTTGTCCTGCGGGACGTGTTGGGGTCGACTGGTCAGGAAGTCTAGCAACCAGTTGCACATGAGTTAACTGATGTCGAGGTCTGTGAGTTTGGCAAAGAATTGTGATGGAATGACAGTGTTAAATGCTGAACTAAAGACTAAGAACAGCATTCTGGCATAAGTGTTCTTGCTGTCCAGGTGAGAAAGGACAGAGTGCAGCGCTATGGAGACCCCATCCTCTGTGCTCCTATTCTGCCTGTATGCAAATTGGTGGGGATCCAGTGTGGGGGGGAGACAGGATCTAAAGTGTGCTAGGACCAGCCGCTCCAAGCACTTGGTGATGATGGGGGTGAGGTTTACCAGACGATAGTCATTTAGTCTGGTTGGACAGGTTAAAAATGTCCATCAGCACCCCTGCCAGCTCCCCAGAGCACGCTCTGAGGACATGTCCAGGTATGCCATCAGGACCCACAGCCTTGTTGGAAATAATCCTGCTCAGAGCCGCTCCTACATCAGTGGAGAGGAGAGTTAGTGGCTGTTGATCTGGGGTGGTGGCTGTCTTAATTGCAGTTGTAGTATTCCTTCTCTCAAAACGAGCATAGAAGTTGTTAAGCTCGTTGAGGGAAGGAGACATCAGCGGAGGCAGTGGAGTTCTTGTAATCTGTGAGAATCTGAAGGCCTTACCACATGCGTTGGGGGTTGGAGTTGGATAAGTGATCCTCCAACTTCCTTTTGTAGTGGTGTTTGGCCTTCTTGATTCCCCTCTTCAGCTCAGCCCTGGCTGCGCTGTAGGTCTGTGCATCCCCTGACCTGAAGGCGATGTTACGGGCCTTCAGCAGGAGACGAACATCTCGGTTCATCCAGGGTTTCTGGTTGGGGTACATGGTGATGCGTTTGTGGATGGTGACACAGTCTATGGTGGTGGAGATGTGGTCCAGTACAGATTAGGCGTCTGTGTGGTGGAAAGTATTCCAATCTGTATTCCTGAACTGGTCTGGAGCACAGCGTCTGAGCCCTCTGGCCACACCTTTACTGTCCTCACAGTGGGTTTCACAAGGATGAGTGGTGAGTACCGAGGTGTGAGGAACAGGGAGAGATGGTCTGATTGTCCGATGTGTGGGAGGAGTGTCGCCTTGTAAGCTCCAGCCAGATTGGAGTAGACATGGTCCAGGGTCTTGTCTCCTCTGGTGTGGCAGGAGACGTGCTGGTGGAATCTGGGAAGGACTGTCTTCAAGTTGGAGTGGTTGAAGTCACCCGCAACAATAAAAGCAGCCTTGGGGTATTTAGTTTGGTGTTTGCTAATGGCCGCATAGAGTTCTTTCATGGCTAGCTTGGCATTAGCATCCAGGGGGGCGGGGGTGTACACAGCAGTGAGGATAATTGAAGTGAATTCTCTTGGGAGGTAATGAGGTCTGCATTTGATCATTAAAAACTCCACATTCTGTGAGCAGTGACTCTCAGTAATAGCAGAGTCTGTGCACCAAGCTTTGTTAATATAAATGCACAAACCTCCACCTCTGGTCTTACCGGAGTCATCTGCTTTCCTGTTGGCTCGGTGTGTATGGCATCCAGTTAACTGGATAGCATTGTCCGGGCAGCTGTTGTTTAGCCATGTTTCAGTGAAAACCATGACATTTGAGTCCATAGTCCGTCTGTCACTAGTGATAGACGTAACTCGTCCATTTTATTGGCCAGAGAATGGACATTGGCGAGGAAAATGCTGGGTAAAGGGAGCCGTTGTGGTGTTAGCTTTAGCCTAGCTCGCACCCCTCCACGCTTACCCCGCCTTTGTTTGCGTTCTCGTCTCCGCCCGGTCGGGAGAAGTGGGCGGCCTCCGGTGTTCTGGAGATCTCTGGGCTAAGTCTGAGATTGGCGATAAAAGTGTTAGGATTGTAGCTCCAAAGGTCCAAAAGTTCTTGTCTGCTATAGCAAAGCAACGCGTTGCAGTTCTTGAAAAAAAGTCCGGTGAGAAGTAGGTAAAAAACCACTAAATAGCAGGATCTGGAGAGACACTGAGCCTCGCGTTGTTCATGCGCCGCCATCTTATCTTCATACCACATTAATAAGTTAATTAGAAATAGTCCATCCTACTGTAAACCGAGTGCCTGTTTGAGAAGAAGGTATATTCTCGCGCTGAAGGGTTTAGAAGACTCCATACATCTGATAAACCAGCATGTTTGCTCAGATCTTTGATCGCTTCCTGGGTTTTGCTGGTTTTAGGACTTAATTTCCCAGATCTATCCAAAACAATGTCCAAGACTTGGTTAAAATCTCCTTCTAAAATGATTGGGAAGTTTCCAAAATCCATAAAAAATTTCTTTAGCTGTAAGAAAAAGTCTGTATCCTCTATATTAAGAACATATATATTAGCTATAATGATGTTTATTATGCAATATTGACTAGCAGAACCATTGCTCAGCCTTCTTTGTCTATATTCTGTCTCTACTTGAATTGAGAGATGTTTAGAAAACAGAATGGATACACCCCATTTTTTCTCTTGGAAAGTATTGTAGTACACTTGGCCCACCCACTTATCTTTAATTCTAACGCCTTTCTCTAACAAATCTTTCTTGTAGCATCATCACATCTACTTTTTTCTGTTTTTGATATTTAAGTACTTTGCGTCGTTTAGTATACGAGCCCAGACCATTAACATTCCAGGAGGATATTTTTACTATGGTCCCCATATTTTATGTCCATTTATAGTTATAAGGCCATCATTATATTTTGTGGTGTAACCGTTGTGTTCATACCTACAACAAAAGAAAAAAACAGAAAGTGGCTGGCTGAGATGGAGGAGCCCAAAAATAGAAATGAAAGTTAAACGCAAACAAACGTGTCCTTTGTAAAATAACTGCGCCTTATTCCTTATGACGAGCATGGAGGTCTTCAGAGTGAGCCACCTCGACCAATAATATACAATAATAAGAATCAAAAACTTCCGGCAGAAGTTTTCTTCTGGCAGAAACAAAAACCAAAAAAAACTACAGTCTGGAAAAAATTCCATCTTATTTTCCCTCCAGTGAAAGGTTCCAACCTCTCGAGCTCTTTGTTGTATTTTCTCCCTGTCCGCGAAGAGAAGGAATCTCACCAGGATGTGACCGGCTGTCGTGTTTCGTCCATCTTCTTTTAGTGTAGCAGGTATTCTGTGAGCCTCTCTACGACGATTTGATCGGTATCCTGGGCTTGTGGGAGTAAGGAGCGTAGTACATCCATTATACACTATTCCCCTTCTCCAAAAGCTCTGGGACACCCTTGATCCTCAGATTGTTTCTTCTGCTACAGTTTTCTTGATATTGAATCCGACCTTCCTCCTGTGTAACTTTGGACTTCACTTCAGCCGCTCACAGTGAGCATCGCGTTCTCATCTTCGAGTTGTGATACTCTGTTTGGGGGCCTACCCAATCCTGCCGTTGAGGCCAGCAACATCGGATTTCAGAGAGGACAGACAGTCTTTGATTGTAATCACGTCTGTCCCAACCTGCTGTATTTTATCTTGAAGATCTCGGTTCATGATGCGAATCTCGTTTATAATCGAGGAGTCTGTCTCTGTATCAACCCTTGAGGACTGGAGTTTGACACCCCTGTTTTAGAGCTTGTGGTTATTTTTGTTGTGCAATTACCATTTCTGTCCTTTCACAAATAAAAACTTGGCGAAAAACAAAAACTGCACAAATTGTGGGTCATGACTGTCAAACATTGTGCCATATAAATTCCTCAAAAAACACCTTTACGTTTGGTTGTAACTTCACAAAATGTTTACGCTGTGTGTCAAAAATAAATTGAATTTCATTTTGAGTTCCTCTTTCTTTAAATTATCAGATGGAAAATAAATCTGTTTTGGTTTACTATATTCTCTTTGTATGAAAAATTTTGATTTCCTTTGATGAAAAAATCAATATTAAAGACTTGGGGAAAATAAAATGTGTTTTGTGCTTTAGTGAACAAAACAGGAGATGCAATATTTACATGCATGCACAAGCCCATAAACCATATGTGATTATATGTGAAGTAAAACTTGCAGCTGTTTCAATGAAACCATAAACTTTTACTGGTTGAGAGGATTCATCCACCAAAGGTTGCATGAATCAGCTAAAAATGTCAGCTAAAAATACTCAAGGCAGTTAACGCCCACAACGCAAAACCTACACAAATCTCTTCAAACCCAAAAGTCCAAACTTTTGATAAAAACAACGGCAGCTCATTTCTGCACATTTTGTGCTCTTATGTTCTAAATGTTGGATCTTTTTTTTGATCAAGTAAACTGAGAAAATATCTGTATGCTCCTATAGGAACCAGTCAGATTTGTGAGTTGTGATAATACCTGAAGTCTTCTGTGACCAACATACAGAAAGACAAACAATGGGGAAATACTTTTGTTTTGCAGATAAAATTTTAGAAAAATAGGGATTTTATTACTTCTTTTTTCAGGTGTTTGTGTGGCCGTGACTTTATGTCAGAGCATTATACAAACAAATACTGCTCTTGAGAAACAACCATTCGTAATACAATTTTTAGGGCACCAGTCCTATAAAGAAATGTAATCTTTATAGGACACATTCTAACCCTAACCCTCTTAGGTCCACGCTTATACATTTGATTTTGCTTGTACATTGAAAATTGCACACATATTTTCAAATGTATTGATACTCATTGAACAAGAAGTCAATAAAATAGTAAAATTAACAATCCAGACAGTTTTAGGGTATTTTAAACGTCAATTGGAATTTATCGTGACAATGACAACTCTAAATTCTTTTAACAAATTTATCCCATTAAATTAACCAATGGATGTGTGGAGACTTTTACAGCTTCACCTTGCCTCATCACTCAATGTGGGCAACAAAAATTCTTTGCATTCAATTTGCATCTAATCTGAAATTGAAGATACAAAGGTTGAAACATGTCTGGACAAATATTTTGGCTATGACCAGTTTTTGCACTGAGTGTGGATATGTTCAGCTGCAAATGTACTATAATTAAAAGTGATGAAGTGGTAAACATGGACACATCTTCCATGTACCGGCTACCATTTGGAGGCTTACCTGTGAATTAATGAGACGCACGGTTGTTTTGGAGCCAACATCTTTCTCAAAGCCGCTGGTGGGAGCGGCGTTAAACCGGAGCACCGCGTCATGAGTGTCTGGGGTTTAATCAAAACAGACAGTTTCAGAGGAAGCAAACTTCAGGAGTTACTGATGCAACACATTCATTTTGTGTTCAGAAATAGCAAAAACAGGAACCACAATATGGTTTCATGTTACACAATGTCTTGTGATTCTTCAGAAAGAGTCAACATTTTTTGGAGCAAACATATTCATGCAGCTAGTTTGGATTTCACAGCTGCAGGTTCACGATTTCATACACTAACAATTTTTTAAATTAAATATATGCAACCTGTTAATTTTGGAGGCAGATAACATTTAGAATTCTGTTAATATTTTACCAGAATTATAAAGGCAGCTTTTAGCTTGGACCAAAATGTTTTCCCATCCACATTTACTGGAGTGAAGGTAATTAAATTAGAAGTTTTAATGATAAATTTGAATTGTTTTTCATAGGTGGAAAATTCTATATAGCTGCTTTGGGTTGGGTACACAACATAATGTATTGTGGATTAGATCTCAACACAAGGTCCAAATGTTAAAATGCAGCCAAATGTATAATATCCAATTTATATATTGAAGCAAGTTGCCCATACAAATGACCTAATAAAGTTTTCAGAATCATGTGAATCAACTAATTTAAGTCAATCTTGAACATGTCTGCTCTGGAACAGGGATTTTTTTTTTCTCTGGCAAAGTTGATTTTAATTGCCAGTATTTTCCAAACAGAGTGATGTTTTATAGCACAATCAAATATGTTACCTGCAGTTATGAAAATGATGTATACATCAAAAACAACTTCAAAGACATTTGACTTTGCATCAAAGCTGTATCTGGCCTCCTACCCTTTCAGACACTTTCAATTCAATAATAATAGAATTTAAATGTTGTTATAACTCATTAAAGATTCTTCAGAGTTATTGCAGATGAAATTCAAGGATTCCTAAAACATGCATGAAAGAATCAAAGCAACACTCCCGGTATGTTTTTGATGAGAGAATAACATATCAAAATATAAACCTTAAAGTAGATTTAGCATAACTGTCCCGTTGTAAATTCACTTAAATGAAAACTGCATCAATGGTGATCAGAATTCAGAATCAACCCTTGGTGGTATCTGAGTTGCTGGGCAACACATACTCTGTTCATCTGAGCGGAACTGTTTGGGCAGGATGATTTTAACTTTGACACAACGGTTCATCAGACAAGACAAAAACTGAAAACATGCTTCAAAAAGCCCAACAGAGACCAATTGTAAACCAATTGTCAATACATTTACTGGACTTAATGTAGACATTTTTTTCAATAGGCTTTATAGGTCTGAATATTCAAGACTTAGAAAATGCACTAGAACTCTACTGTGTAATTTTTCATATTCCTGTATATTCTGTACAATCCTGGTAATTTGTATAAAATGTACATAGCTCTCATATTTATGTTTATATTGTACAAAACATTTATAGCACGTCATTATTCTCTGTTTATATCTTGTACAAATGTTTATAAATATTTATATCCAATGTAGCACTTCTGGACAGATGCAAACTACATTTCGTTGCTTGTACATGTGACAGTGCAATAACAATAAAGTTGAATTCTATTCTATTGTAATTTTTTGATTTAATAGTTTTAAATGCACTGGGTGCTGCCTGGAAGACATGTCGATAATCCTGATTTCAGGTTAGAATTTTCATTTTGTTGTTACAATGAGACAGCTCACCAATCTCCTTGCCTAGTCCGGAGTTGCGGAGCGACCCTGCAGACGACACCACTGCACAGCTTTTGTATGGCCCAAGGTCAGAGGTCAGCTGCTGTGGGGGTAGCAGCAGGGGAGCCCAGGCCAACCCAGAGAAAGGCTGATGATCAGAAGTCAAAGTGGTGACCTCTACCTTCTCCTTGAGCTGGCAGAGCAGCTCCCTGCCGCTCAGTTTGGGCCGGTTGGAGGTGCCACCAGGTCCAGACACCTGTACACCGTATTTATTCATCGCCTGGTAGAACGTCCATGAATTATTGCAGGTAATCGCAAAGAAATAAGTTCAGCTGATAAGTGTAGAGGCAGCATTAACTCACCTGATAGTTCTGCACAACCCTCTTCAGCCTGTTTCCCAGCATGCTGCTGGACATCTCATCATTCCACACATCTCCTAAAATCCCTTTAGACCCAAAGAATTCAGAGTCGCCCGATTTGCCGCTCAGCTCTCCTTTACGGCGGCCAACAAATAGAGTCTCCAGTGCCCGTGTGAAAGGTCCTGGCAGCAGGTGAGAAAAAAAACCTGAGGACTCTTTCATTTTTGCTGCTCGTTTTGGTGGAGACTCCCAGTCCTCGTTGGTGTGGTTGGGTGAAGACAAGACAGGGATTGGGCGGTGAGGGTCACCTGCAATTATACCCGGGTGTTTCTGAGGGTCTGCGTAGATTGATTTTGCTCCGCCTCGCAGCACCTGAGCAGGTCACAGTGATGAAGACATACTTTAAGCATGTCTGTTTTGTTATTCAGAGGAAATAAAGGTATTTTAGCCAATAATATCCCATTATTTGTAAGTTTTTTCTCTCAGAGTTTTTATGCTGTACTAACATGGGGACATGGAGCTTTAATATCAGCAAGAACGGCAACAAACCTTGACGACTGAGTGTGTACGAGGCTGAGCCCTGGTATGTGCCCTCACACCAAAGATGGCGTCTGTGACAGGCACACTGTTTTCAGCACACAGGGCATAAAAAAGAGCCATGGAGATGCAGAAAAAGGTCATGCAGATGGCTCCACGGCGAGCGCGACGCCTCAGACGCCACAGTAGGCTCACCCTGTCCATCGCTGCTCCGGGAATCTAAACAACAAATATTATTTAACAGAAAGTATGCTGCATGAAGAGAAACTACTTTTTTTTAAATAGAAATTTTCATTAAAGATATGTCCATAAAAACAACAAAGAAATCTCTTTTAATCACATTTGAATAACATCAGCACCAACTGACAACATCTCTTGTTTCACAGTTTTTTTTTTCACAATTGCATTTGCTCTAGAAATTGGTATAAAGACTTTAGAGACTTAAAGAAAACAAAATTGAACCATTACAAAAATAAAATGAATCTTGCCATTTTTAATAACCATTAAAAATTTCAAACTGTGGCACAGGAGCTAGCTCAGAGGCGGGGAGAAGGCTACACAGGGAAGCAAAGAAAATATCCTGGGGAATGCAAAGTGAAGGAAACACCAAGGAGCTGAAAATACTTCTAATACTAAAGAAACACTAAGACTAAAGAAAACTTGATAAACTGCAAGAGAAAAAGAACTGAGGGAAAAAATAAATAACCCAAAACAGAAACAAGGCTGATCTAACAATAAGAGCTGAGGAATGTAGAGTTAGAGTAACTAGAAGGACTAAAAAAAAAACCTAACTAGAATCACTAAAGAAAGATGGACTTATATTCAGTCAAAGGACTAACTAAACCTAAAGTGACTAAATAAAAAAAACTAGAAACGCTAGTCCTTCTAGCTTACTTGTTAAGCCAGAGGGACTTAAGAAATAACCCAACTAGGATCCTGAAGGAAGATGGGCATGGAAACAGACATAATAGAACTCAACCTAAAGTAAGCAGATAAGAAATACTAGAACCACTATGGGAGAAGCTAGAAAGACTGACTAAGAAATAACTTAACTGGAACCATGAAAGGAAGGTATACATATATGGATAACAGAACCTAGAGTAACTTAAAAATTAAACCTAACTAGAAACATTAGTTTCTAGGAAAATGAGGAAAGACAAGACCATAATAAATCAATAACCTCAAATAATATAACTAAAATGATCAGAAAGGGCTCACCTAAAGTGAACTAAAACATAGTGCTAAAAAAGATGAAAAGCAAAACCAAACCCAAAAACAGTTCCAAATAATTTTTCGTTTTGTTTTGCTTGATGAGAAAATCCTTAACACTGAAGAAATGTCCAACAGCACATTTAACTGGGTCATTGGGGGCTAGTTTTACCCACCTTGCTGTCATCAATGGTAGAATGATCATTGGACAGTAAATATAGATAAACTGCCTTCTTTCTGCTCACTTTCAATTCAGAGGCCATCCTGATGTAATCTTTGTGGTTTTATTCACACTTGAGTAATCTTCAGCCGCTGTTGTATTGTAGTGACAAAACCCTAACCCACCGTTTCAATAGGGCTGACCACAGCAACATTTCAATGCTCCAAGGTACAAAGAAAACAGACAAAAATACACTCAACAACTTACTGACAAACAGTATGAATAGCTTAACATATAAACTCTGGTGTCTGAAATTCAAGAAAGGAATATTTTGCCAAAATAATTAACAGTAACAAAAATAATAAAGTTTTGTTTTCCACCATTGGAAATCTGATTAATCCTAACTTTACTGACTATTCACAGACTTCAACTGACTCTCTTTGTGAACAGTTTGCAAATCATTTCAGAGGAAAGACTGAGTCAATTAGAGCTAGCATTTTATCTGAGCAAAATACTGGTTTTAAATCCACTGAATAATTGTTTTTTTTTAACTCTGGAAACACTGGACAATTTAGCTGTGATTGATGCAAGAGATGCTCAGTAAAGTTTTCTCTCAAATAAAACTAACTACCTGCGCCTGGGACCCAATTCCCTCATTACTTAGTAATTCACTGTATAGATGTTTTCAGTATGAAATTTTTAAGTATTGCAAATTGCTCTCTTCAGAGGGTTGTCTTCCCAACTGTTGGAGAAAATGTGATATTATTAGTCAAATATTTGTTATTCTCATATAATCTTATAGTATTATCTTCTTTTATTGTTTAAGCTCCTTATAGGATTAAGAATGTTTCTATTTTGTTGATTTGCTCTGATTCCTTTCTTAGAAGGCCTCACTGATGGAAAGCAGAGACAATGTTTTCCTGAAGGGTTATCTCTTGACCAGGAGCTCTGCTTCGTTGAGTTGCTGGATTGCAATAAAACTGTCACTGTGAAGATTCACTACATATTCTGCTAGACTTTGTGTCTGGAACGAGATTATCTAGTGCAAGATCATTTGTGTATTAGTTAGTAAATGACAACTCGCGCTGTAGCTATGTGATGAGTTGGTTTCCGCTCCCTTTAGAGCTACATGGTCCTTGTGATTAGGGATCCTGAAAACAATAAAAGGAGAGGAGCCGACAAATATGCTTCAGAGCAGTAGGAGATTGTAACTGAAGCACATCTCTGTCCGTTCTCCTCGCGAATAAAATAGAATCTAACTCTTTTGTCTTTTCTGTCTTTGTTAATGTATGTTCAACAAGTGTTAACCCTAACACCAACACTCTTGAAAATGTCAGTGGAAAAGCCCTTTCTGAAGAAGAGTAATCTGGACTGTTTTTAATAATTACAAACCTGTATGCAACTTACCATTTTTAAGTAAAATTTTAGAAAAGCTTGTTTTTATTCAATTAAAATTTGAATTCTGACTCTATTCACACTGCAGCTCAAAGTGACCCAATTCCGATTTTTTTGCTATGGCTGTTCACACTTCCAAATATATGTGACGTGTATGTGTTCCTCAGTGTAAAGTGCAAATGACCTGAAAGTGCCCTGCATGCACAGTAGTGGGCACAATAACGTCATATAGAAAATGCCAACTGCCATAAAAAAGAAGAAGTGCTTAGTGTTTGCAGAAGTAAACGTGGATGCTAACGGTGGAGCATATATTACAATTTTGAAGTTGTTGTCCGTCCGAAGCCAGCATATTAACAACTTAATCTATAGTCCGCCATGGTTGTTTTTCTTCCCACTTGCGTGTATCAGTGTACAGAATAGGGACATTTGTTGACTATCAATGATGTTCAGGTCTGATGAATGCAACCTGGACGCAAGTCGCATTTAAATCAAATACTTGTCGGATATCCAAGGGGCCTGGGTAACATTTGAAAAAAATCTGACCAATGCTGTTCATTGGTCTGCCATGACTGTTGTGAAAAACATTCGATACAAGTCGGATTAAGGCAAAAAATTGTGGAATTTGGTCACTTCAAGCTGCAGTGTGAACACAGCCTGACACAAAACTGTCAGTTAGAATTTGTTTTGATTTGAATTTGGCTAGTTTTTCGCTAGTTATGTCACCATGGTTACTCGAAATACCACCAAAAGTAATAGCACCCCTCCCAGGATGAACCCTCACATTTGGATATATGTAAATTATGGGGGTGCACACTGCAGTTTGGGCCTCATTAACGGTGAAAGGAAGGAGCACTTATTTTGAGGTGAAGAATAACAGGTCTCTTTCATGAGTTCCAATGCAATGCTATGGCCCCAATACGTAAAGAGACACTCTATTGATGGTAGAATAATGTGCCTTCCATGCATTGTATAGGAGGCTCCAATTAGGATCTTTTAGAGCCTAAAGAGTGTATGGTTGTCTCAGTCTTAGTAAGCTATCTGAAGCATTTAAAGCTTGTATCAAAAAAGTTTGTGACTCAAAGTTTCTCAACTCAATACCCTTTAGTGACATCTGGTGGTCAAAAATATGAAACCAACTTGCTGGACAATAAAACATTATGCATATTTTTAATAAATAATGTTCATGATCATGTTTTGCAAATATAGTATAAACATAAAAATTAAAGTATCAATTTCATTATAGCTTGGAACTTTGCATCTGCCTCTATAACTGACAAACTGACAGGGATGGAATAGCTCTATGTTACATTCTAATTTGCTGCAAATGTCGCATTCTGTTATTATTTTACTTTAACATGGAAAAGAAGTTCTTATGAATGAGTATCACAAACCTATTTAAATAGTAAGTATGGACTGATAGGAACATTTTGGGTTGATATCGATAGCTGATTTTTATATTGGTCTTATTTCAAATAAGCAATTTTTGCCGATATTGTTTACATACATTTTCCTATCCTTTCCACTGTGTTTCACTGCTGACATTGCTGCTTCAGCTCAATGCTTCTCTGTCCTGTTTTGCATTACCATCACTGTCACTGGGCCTGTCACAATATCATGTTTTGCTGAGCAATTAATTATCTCATAAATTATTGTGATAAATGATAATATTGTTTGAAGACCATTTTAAATGTAATGGTGTAACGGATCTCTTCAAGAAAGCTTCAATCAGATTTCAATCAAGTTTTTCTTTATTCTGGGAGAGAAGAACAAAACAAATTAGCTTCCTCTCCAAATCCTCTCCTTACACTCCAGCCCTAAATGTGAAAAAAAAATTGAAGTTCATCCGAACTGTGCTAGTCTAACTAGCACCGGTTGTTCGCGCCAAAATAAAAAAGAAAGAAATTATAATAAAACTGTTTAGCAAAATCGGCAACGACTGTCAAAACTGCAAAATAACGCACTAACAGCAATAATAAACAACACATGGTAAACAACAATATTCATAAAGAAAACATACATCACTGCAGCGAACTTTCCTCTGACTTTCCCTCAGCAGCGCGAAACAACGCCGTGAGGGAAAGGGGTAAGCGGATGAGTTAGGGCTGGGGCAACTACGGAAGCCTAGGAGACATAATCGAGGCAAAGCGCAGAAAAGCGACCCCCGCAGGCAAAAGCAACAAATCAAAATAACTCAATAAGATAAAATTCACAAATTCTCGATATAAATGAATTAGAAATAAAAATTTTATAAACACATTTGTAACTCTGTTACACTGGCATAATAATGCAGGCACATCCAGCCAAAAAATAAATGTGCTTTATTTTCAAAAGAACACTTAACACTGGAACTGGTAAACAAAATAAACAAAACAACCGAGAGCAAAAAATAAAATGGACTCTCACTCTCTGTTAACAAAAAAATGTACTTGAACATAAACTAAACCACATAAAGCTAAAGTGGAAATTAAAAGCTACATTCAATCAAAAGAGTACAGATAATGAAGTCTGAATACTATATTGCCTTGCAATAATCATTAGATTTAGTTTGAGAAGATGGGCAGTCTAGGCCTGTCGCGATAAACGATAAGTCAATTAATCGCAGGATAAGTTAAAACTATCGACCTCATTTTAATTATCGTCTATATCGTTTCTTACTGTTGATGACACTGAATGAAAAAAGGCTCCACTCCGGTGCTCTCCACTGACCCACCCTTCCTTATTTCCTTAGTGTAATGCCCAGCAAGCGCTGCACCATCTTGTGGCCGATTGTCGATTCATTATTAAAACCTGAGACACATTAGCCGACAGAAAGCCTAGCTATAACGGTTCGATCGAAACCGTGTTGTGTCCAACAATGGACACAAAAATAATAAGTCCAGTTCACTAATATTGAAACCAGGCATTAATCAATTCCTTACTACAATCTACCTGCAATGCATGTAGCTAGTGTCAGTCTGACTGAATGACAATCATTAGAACCTATTTATGTCACGTTAACGAAGAACAGCTGAAAAGTTTTTTCTGGTAGAAATTTCGCTCCAACTCCTCCCCTAGTTATTTATATTTTCTTTGCATGAAATGTTGAATAAACATTCATGTTGTTTCCGATGTCTGCTGGACTTCGGGTTGCATCGTGTCAGCTGTTCGGGATTCCCTCCGTGTTTCCCCTCAGAAAGCAGGAGGAGAATCTGCGCTTTCTGATTGGCTACCGGTCACATTCAACAGGCTGCGTCACTCTCTCTTTTACTGCCAAAGTTTTAATTTACAGGTTTTATTTTGTATTATTTATACTTTTTGTTAAGACTCTTATTTTGAAGGATTAAGGTAGGAAGTAGATGTAGAAGCGTCTGGTTACCAGGTTACCAGAGACGCTTGCGATATAACAGCATCGCGTTGGCAAGCAAATGAAGAAACATGATTTAAGTTTAAGAATTTACTGAATGACCTCATTTTTACCTCAAAAGGAAGGGTCAGCCAGCGAGGTATGTTTATATGTTATTTTTATGTCGATATTGTATTCTTGACACCATCTCACTAAGTTTACGTTGTGTTTTAGTTCGTGGTGTCAGGGAAACTGAAGCTGTAATAAGAACAACTTTAAAGAGTTTCATTAAAGCTGACTTCACACCAGCAGTGCCACGAACTCTTAATTGCCAGAACAAGAAGAAGAGGTGGAAGTGATACTCTCAGTCTGGATAAATCCTTGATTTAGATCGGAGCGGCCACAACGATCTACCGTAACACACAAGGGACAATCTCAGAACGGATAATGTTCTAAGATTGTCGTTCAGGGTAAAATAAATCCTGTAGTTTGAACTATTGCATCAGGCAGTCGGATTCTTCTCTATTTAAATCTAATTATTACTGAAGGGGAATATACTATACAGACTTCATAATCTGAAGTCTTTTGGTTGAATGCAGTGTGTTGGTTGTTCTTCAGCGGATGTCCCATTATTCCCCCTGGAATCACTGGGTTCTTCTGTACCGCGTGAATACATCTTTGCAGATGTATTAACTTACTTATGTAACACAGGAGACATTATTAATATCAACCAGCAACCACACTGCCCTGCTCTGCCCGAACACTCAGAGAAAGAAGGGAGGAGGCTCCGCCTTTATTTACCTTTTATAAGTGCGTAACCTTCCGCTTCACAAAGTAGTGCCAACATAAATACAATAGTGGCAAACGTCATATTCAACACAGTGTTTATTTCCACTTTGGCTTTATGTTGTTTAGTTTTTATTCAAGTACATTTATTGTTAATGGAGACTGAGAATCTATTTAATTTTTGGTTTTGGTTGTTTTATTTATTTTGTGTATCAGTGTAACTGGGTGTATATTAATAGTTATATATTTACACAAAAATGTTTTCTTTAATGTATTTGTCAGTTTTCATCTGGCTGTTCTTGTGTTCTTCTGTCTCTGTTATGGGGGTTTGGTCCTCCAGCCCCGCCTTACTTTCTTCTTCTCTTGTTCAGGGTCCTCCAGGACTGTTATAAATGTTTAAATTATTCATTTCCTCTTCCCTTTTGTCATTCGTTCCACTGGGGAGAGGCAAGTTTTGTGGTCCATTGGAACCCTTTCATTCATATTCTTCAAATGTTTATTTTTCCATCTGTGTTGATTATATGCATTTGAATATTTTCATTTGAGTTATTACTCCTTTATAACATTTTGTTGTATAGATTGGGCTGGAGAACTGGAGCACATGCTATGTGCTAATGCTAATATCTCCCGATTGACAGATCAATAAACGGAGACTGCCTCCAAACCCAGACTTGATGCTTTGTGGTTTGTCTGATCACCACACACACAACGCAGAAGTCCACCGGTCACATCAGTCCCAGTGTTAAGTGTTCTTTTTAAAGTAAAGTGTATCTATCTTTGGCAGGAAATTACATGTATTATTACGTAATTTCCATTAAATCAATGTAAAAAGGTCTTCAAACAATATTATCGTTTATCGCAATAATTTTTGAGACAATTTATCACCCAGCAAAATCTGTTATCGTGACAGACCTAATGGGCACATCCGACTACCTGATGCAGTAGTTCACTCCTCCCTTATGCTAAGGAATTGAGGAAGGGAGGGTCAGCACTGGAGTTGAGCCTTTTTTCATCCAGTGTCATCAATAAAAAGAGAAAAAGGCAGAAAGAAATGATGAATTAAAATGAGGTCGATAATTTTCATTTATCATGCGATGAATTGATTCATTGTTTATTGCGACAGGCCTAACTGTCACATGCACAAACAAATACAACAAAGCCAACCTCGTCTCCCCCAAAAAACACCAGCACAGGCAGCACAACATACAAATAAACCTGAATATTAATATCGGGTCAGTTTTACTTCAGGGCCGAAAACATAGGGATTCACCGATCCGCTTTTTCTCACTTCCAACACCGATATCTGAGGTTCAGTATCGGCTGATACTAATCTGATAAGTAAAACAGTGCTGAATTGACTGAAAATGTTTTGTTATTTAAATGCATATAAAAATGTAGTGAATTACAAATGTATTTGATAACTCTGCACCACTACAGCACACTTATGCACCAATCTTGGTCAAAAATGTAAAACAACTTTAATTTGTTCAGATAGTGGAAACAGGAGTACAACAGCCGATGTAAAAATAAATAATAAAGAAACTGAAACTGG